ATCTGTAGTAAGCAGAATAAATAATAAATGTGAGAGTAGAAATCAGTGAAATGAAAAAAACAACAAAAAATCAATTAAAGCAAGAATTTTGTTCTTTGACAAGATTGATAAAATTGATGAACCTCTGTAGCTAGATCTATCAGAAGAAAAAAAAAAAAAAAACAGAAGCAAATTACCAATGTCAAGAAAGAAAGATGTAACATTACTACAGATCCTACAGAGAGGAAAATAGGGAACTTTTATATGCAGCTTTATGCAATCAACATATTCTTTGAAAGACTCAAATTGCACAAACCTCAAAACACAAAGCTCACTCAAGAAAAACTAGATAACTTGAATAGCTTCATATTATTAAAGCAATTTAATTTGAAGTCAGAAACCATCCCCCACCCCAATACTTCACACACAAAACTTTCAGAGCCAGGTGAGTTCACTAATGGGTTCTAACTAACTAACTACATTTTACAAGTTGCTGCATAAACTTGCCAAGGAAATTGAAAAAAAGAAAACTTGCCTATTCATTCAGCAAGGCCAATATTACCCTGATAGAAAGCCAGACAAAGACATTACAAATAAGAAAACCTATAAAACAGTATTCCTTATTCACATAGATGCAAAATGAATAAATTAAGGAACCAAGCAAGTTGAATGTAGCAACACTTAAAAAATATAATACATCATAACCAAAAAAGGTTTATCTCAATAATGTAAGATTAGGTTAACACTTTAAAATAACTTCTCATGTATGAACAAACCAAAAAAGAAAAAAGCAAGATTATCTCAGTAGATATATTAAAACACAGTTGACAATATTTAGCATCCATTTCTGATTTTCAAAAAGCTCCTTGTAAAGTAGGAAAAGAACGAAACTTCCTCAGAATAAAAAAGAGCATCAGTGAACAACTGATAGTGGACATCATCGTCTATAGTGGAAGAGTAACTACTTTCCAAGATCAAAAACAAAGCAAGAATGTCTGCTCTTACTGCTTCTGTTCAGCATTGTACTTCAGGTTCTACTGATTGCAACCAGGCAAGGAAAGGAAGAACAAAAGAGGAGAAAAGAGGACGGGATGGGAGGAAGATAAGACGATTGGGGTGAGGAGGGATCCACCTATTGATGGATCATATGATTTTCTATATAGAAAACCCAATGAAATCTACAAAATAGATTTCAAACTTAATATGTGAGTTTGGCAAGATTGCAAAATACAGTCATATTATAAATACACTATTTCTAATTAACGGTGAAAAATGATAATAAAGTTTTAAATATCATTTAAAATTGTTAACAACTTAATAATAAATTGACCAAAGATGTGCAGAACCACCAAACATTGCTGAGATAATTTTTAAAAACCTAAATAAATGGATAACTATACCTTGTTTTGGTAACCTGAAATTATTAACATGCCTATTCTCTCCAAATTGAATTCCGTGTAATCCCAATCAATATCTCTATAGGCTTTTTTTTAAAAATAAAATTTAAAAAGTTGTTTCCAAAATTCCTGTAGAAATGCAGAGGACTTAAAATAGCCAGAACTATGGGGCCAGCAGGTGGTGTGGTGGTTAAGGTGCTGGACTCACATATAGTCAACTGCAGTTTGAGTCCTGGACCTGGTGTCTTGAAGCTCCCTCTGGGTGCTCCCAAAATCCTGAGAGGAGAAACGAGGAAAAGGGATTGAGGCAGGGCCATCCCCCCTGCGGGGGGGGGGGCAGTTTCTCACTTTCTCTTTTTCTGTCTTTCCAGCAAGCACACTTCCCCTATTGTGAAAATCTTTGTAAAAATAATAATGATAATAACTAGAACAGTTGGGTCACTGGGAAAGTCTTGATGTAGTTTTCTGGTTTTCTGTCCAAAAATGTGTCATGACTTTTCTGACTACCTAATACTTTGTAAAAGTAAGAAAGAAGGAAAAGAAGAATCAAGAATCACTTCCTAATTTCAATACTTATAATGACACTACGGTAATTAAGACAATGTACTGACATCAAGATAGACCAATGGAATAGAATGAGGAGTCCAGAAATTGATCCACATATATGGATAACTGATTTTTGACCAAGGTATGTAGAGAATTCAGTGGAGAAGAGGTACTTTTCTTCCAACAAATAGCGCAGCAGCCATTGGATATCCATATGCATAATAAACTGACATTTATGCTGACAATTCCGGAGGCTAGAAGTCCAAGATGGAGGCACCTGTGGATTCAGTGTCTGGGAGGGAGGACTCACTTCCTATGAGATACACAGACAGTGCCTTCTCTCAGGGTTCTCATGGAGACAGGACAAACGAGCTCCCTGGGGCCCCTTTTATGGGGGCACTAATCCCATTCATGAGTCGTCACCCCCCCCCCTCACTCCGCTACCTAATCACCTCCTAAAGGCCCTACCTCCTAATACCAGTGCCTTGAAGTGAGGAAGGACCTCAACATATGAATTTAGAGTGGTGGGCATGGACATTTGGATCATGCAATTCCTGTTATTAGTAAGTTAAAGTAGGGTCTTTGGCAAATATCCACCCCATGGAGAATGAGAGCTGTGTCCTTGCCTATGTACGGATAGCCATTAAAGTTGCAATATTGAGACCATTGGGTGGTGTGGTTGTTAAGGTGCTAGACTCCCACATGGCCAAAACAGTTCTAGTCCCAAAAAATCATGCCAGGTATATAGGTGTGCATGCCCAAAATCCCAAGAAAAGAATGAAGGGAACGGTATTGAGGCACGACCATCCCCTTTGGAGAGTGATTTCTCACTTTCTCTTTGTCCCCCTCTCTCTGTCCCTCTCTGGCAAGCACATGTGCCCTATGGAGAGAAATAAAAGAAGAAAACAAAAATGCTGCAATATTACAGAGCCCAAGGAGAAGAGGTCAGGGAGCTAAATAAGAGAAGGGTAGGGAGGAACGTGGGGAAAGGGGAGAGCAGGCCTCAGCGTCAAACCTCAGTTGACACCCTGACCTCCTTTCACTTGTGCTGGGGCTTTGTTTCTCATCTGTGAGATTGGTGCAAGAACTAATTGAGAGAGAATATGCACATGGCTGAGCCTGTGCCTGGCACCAAGAAGACACTTCATAAATGGTAGCTACTGTTAGAGCTGTCATCATCCACCTCCTCTTTCTTAAGCTTTGTTGCAAGGTTGCCCAGGGTGATGGGAACAGCTGAACATAAAGCCACCTGGGGTCAAGGGAGATTGATGGAGCTGGGAGGTTGAGAGTGTACTGGTCCCTGTCCAGAGAAAAGACATGCTCATCACATGGGTGAGCAGACCATTGGGACTGATAAAGATTGCTGCTTGCTGGGTTTTATTTGAGCAAGTTAGCCTCGTTTGTCTTTCCTCCATGAGAACACAGAGAAGGCACTGCCTGTGTATCTCATAGGAAGTGAGTCCTTCCTCCCAGATACTGAATCTCAGTCTATTTGTCTTTGTATGGGAGGCAATGCCTGGAATGCTGATCGTGGCACTAGGACATCACTGATCTTGTTGAGTGGTGCTTAATGATTGGACCTGTGCTGTGCTTGGAATGGGGTCTGGCAGGGACAGCACACAGGAAATGTTCTGCCACTGTCAAGGTGGTACTGGAGGTGATGGTGGTTGTTAGGTTCAGAGAAATCTGTGCCTTGAAAATTCACTTTGATAACACGCTGAAAAAGTGGCTCACATTGCCAGTCTCAGCACAATTCGATATGGAATGTGTTGAACCCAGTGAAACACTAGGGCAAAATCCAGTTCACACAGTTCCACATGATTCCATTCCCTTCTTGAAAACACAGTTCGAGTTTTGCCGTTAGAGGTGCCAGAGAACAAGGAGAAACTTAGAGAATGAAGATATAATAAGGGGCTTCAAAGAGTTCATGGAGATGCATATTATAAAACCACTCCCAGTGGATCTCCCCCCTTTATTTCCACCAGAATAAGTTTATACAGTAATTCCACTTTTCTACAAACGTTTTTGAAGTCCTTGGTGCTTTCATCAACATTCCTTGAATCACATTTTCTGCAGTGATGAGGGGCTGAGCTGACGGTGGGAGTGTGAACGTTCTCACCGAATGGAGCATGAACTCGGGAGTTGGCATTCGTTCATCCACCCAACAGACAATGCAGCTCCCGGGAAGTACTGGCCACTGGAGATGGGGTGGTGAGTCCTGCATGACTCATGCCCCAGAAGCCCCCACTCCAGTCGGGAGAGAGAGGACATCATCACAGGCCGGGGGACCAGTGGGGGCAACATAGGGCACTGGGAGAAGGCCAGGGTCCTGAAAATATGCATGTGGCCTACCAGTGGTTTCCTATGTTTCTCTTTGAATCTAATAATAAGTCCTTGAAAGATTGATTTATTTCAGGGAACCAGCAGTTAGCGTAATGGCTATGTCGCTGGACTCCCACGTAGTCGACCGTGGTTCGTGTCCTGGACCCGGTGGCTTAAAACTCACGCCGGGCGCGTGTGCGTGCATGCCCAAGATCCTGAGAGGAGAATGGAGGAGAAGGGATTGCGGCGTGACCATCCCCCCTGGGGGGTGATTTCTCGCTTTCTGTCTCTATGTCTCTCTCTGTCTGTCTGGCGAGCACACGCGCCCTACAGTGAAAATCTCTCCAAAAAAAAAAAAAAAGATTGATTTATTTCAGTATCTCTATGAGCAAGAGAAAGAAAACACACACAGAAACTAGGTTTCAGTGCTTTGATCTACCTCCCACCTCTGCCAGCCCCAAATCATGGGCACAGATGTGCCTGGCATACTCCAAGAGGTCTCCAGATGCCAACCTGGAGGAATCTCCATGAGCATTGGATCTTGCCTCTGCACCACCATCCAGCCCTGGTCATTGAATGCTTCAAAGTATATTTGTGTTCCAGAGAGATTTCTCTTGGGGCTGTAGGTAGTACTGTAGGTAGACAGTACCCATGTAAAATTACAGTGTGTTCCAAGAGTGCTGTGACGAGAGGGTTGTGCTCGCAGCTCTTCAACACTGCTTGCACGAAATAACCTTATAAATTTCTTCACTGCAGGTGCCCTTGCTTGTGTGAGCCATCAAGGAAGGTCAGATATTTGCAGGACCCACCAGTAAGCTGCCCAGTCACCACTCAAGGATTCCACGTGGCAAGGAACATCAAGACTTGGAGTTGCTTTCTTGTCTGCGGGCCAAATTGCCTGCAGTTGATTTCCTGTGTGTTCCTGTAGAATGGCTCAAACTAAGGGGAAAAATTGCTGCTCTGCTGTGCAGCTGGTGTGCCAAGGAAATGTGCTTTGCCTCTGCATATTCGAAGTTGCCAATGAACTATTCTTGTTGGCAGGTTAATAGGAATATACACGCTGGAGCCCAGCACTCACACTTAATTATATTTATGGGCAAGGTGAACAGAATGATGCCTTAGATGGAATTTTGGGCCTTTGAGATTTTTACCACATATAGATGGTTAAAACCGTTTCCTTGTTTAAATCTTTCAAATTATAGGGGAAAAAAAATATATATATATATATAAATCATCTGAAACGATCTGACTGTTCTATGCTCCATGATGCTGTGCATTTGGATAGTAAGAAAAAGCATGGAGAAGCCTTTTCAAAGGTGACTCTGTGGGGTCATAACACTATTGGATTCTTATTCCTCAAATAGTTGGGGCTCGCACCTCGCAGAGGGTCACAGGAGTTGTTCTGACCAGCTTAAACTTCTACTAGTCAACTGTTAGCACCCAAAGTAACAGCTGTCTATGACCCAGTGGATAGGGCATTCCCGAGTCCTCCAGAGGTGCAGGTGGCTGAGAGCAGAACGACCCCAAGTGAAGGGTTGGTGCCCACGTGGACTGCTGTTCCCCATTGGGCTATGAAGTGGAGCAGATCCCCCGGGGGTGCTGTACACAGAGCCTAGACGTCCCCAGGAGCCAGATGAAACCCTGCAGAGGGCTCAGTTGTGGGGACGTTGGGTGTCTGCATGTCCCAGAGATGGGATCAAACTCGCGCTTAACATTGCGGTTAAGGGTCGGGCTTGATGCTCGTGCCTGCCGGCATCGGTGGCTGCCATGTGTTGAATGGCAGGCCTGCAGCAGCACACGGCCCTCACTCACCAGTATTCGTAATGAAGTGTAACTCCAGCAGTCATTTTTCATAGATTCCTTTAAAACACTTTGTTATAATGTTCTTTGAAAGAATAATAGAAATCAAAAGGAGTTTGTGAAATAAAATCTTTACCTTAGTGAAAAAACAAATATGATGAGATTATCTTACTGTTTCGCAACTCTTTCTGATCCGGCATCCAGTAGAATGGAAACTCTACTCTTTCTCCTCTGAATCACGCGCGAAACTTGATCAGGGGGAAGGAGCCACCAGCCAATCCCGCTCTTAGTCATAGCTGTCTATGATTTGTCTTTTGGTGCCACAAATAAAAGAAAATCGACTTACAGCTGTTGTGTGAATTTCATACTGTAATTGTTTGGATATCCCAGGTCGAAAACGGGGAGGAGGGATTCATTATCCAGTCAACAAACATGGCCACATCACACTGAATTGCAGCAGATTCCAAAACAGACAAAACTTTCCACCTCCTAGAGTTCACACGCAGTGGGGATGCACCCTGAAGTATCCAGTGGTGAGTAGATTTCCAGGTTAAGCACTAAGGAGAAAAATCATCAGGAGAAGGGGATGAAACAGTCCAGCGGAGATGGAGAGAGACCTCGGTGAGAAGTGACATTTGAGTGAAAACCTCGAGGAAAGGAGGCAGCAGACCACAGCGGGTGAGCAGCGAGCACCTGGCAGAGGAAAGGGCAGATGCAGAGGCCCTGGGGCAGGCTTTTGCCTGGAGTTGTCAGGCAACAAGGATGCTGTCGGACAGGAGTGGGAGATTGTACAAAGATGTGCATGCCCACCCTGCTGCTTGACACCCTGTTTCTCAGAGCAGCCTCACTCCCCAGCCAGGCTGCGCGGGTGGCAGACAGACACGAGGGCCTAGAAGTGGGCTCCAAGGAGGAGCGTGCGCTCACTCCCACAGCTCATGTGGCTCATTGGCGAGACCAACTTCGTGCTAGGTTGGTTCTTTGTTGAAGTCATGTTATATTTGCATTTCAAGCTGAGCAGAAGCCTTGGTTTTTGAGGTGTAGATACAATTACAGCCTCCTGGGTTGTGCTTTAGTGTTTTTGCAGGGTGTTTTCATGGCCGCTCTTAGCTCGTCTACCCAGTAAACCCGAGTGGTACTGAGGTTCCATCTTGAAGGTGCACCAGCTAGAGGCCAAGGTGATTGAGTAACTAGATTATGTTGTTCTCATTTTGCAACAGCCATTCTGTGGCTCCCTAGTGCCTGCAGAGTTAAGTCTACACTTCCTGACCTACAGGACTCTCAGTGGCCTAGAGCCCCCACCCCTGTTTGGACAGCCTAAACCTCAGCCACTCTTCCACCCATTTCCTGAATGGTTATCGGGCCCCCAACAACTTCAACAGTCCACGTGTGCCTCCCTTGGTAGTCTGAGCATTTCATCTACCGAGAATGTCTGTCACCCTCTGCCACCACCACTGTCCACTGGCAAGTCCAGCTCTGACTTGTGCATCTACACCTGCCTTTCTGAGCCCAACAAGGGGCCAAAGCAGGAAGCAAGTCTGAGTAAACTTTCCAGTGTCGTGCTCTGTCAGGTATACCCAGCAAAAGGCCTGGTTCACACCTCATGTGCAAGCAAAGCTATTAATAGCATTCTCTCTCACCACGGAGTGTGCCAGTTTAGCTCATACATTCAATGGTATCCCTTCCTGTCAGTCCACATGAGGTATACAGTGAATGTTCAGTGAAGGAATAAATATCGGGAAGTGAGGAGAAGCCAAGCTGGTCCCCAGCCCAGGCGCCCTGATCTGAGATTTACCAACTTTTCTCTCAGCCTTTGTGTGGTGCGTTACCCAGAAGGGAGCCCAGATAGTCCGTCCAGGCCCCATACCCATTACCCTCAGGGATGTGGACATCGAGAATCATCCCTGAGGGTCTAGCTCCTGAAAAATGCCCAACACCCAACAGCAGCCACTTAGCACCCGCTTGGCCTCCATGAGGTGGGTCCGTTTGTAGACCGCCCACTATTTCCACTGCCCTTCAACAGTGGCCCCCATAATGCCCCATGTGGGCATCTCTGCTTAATCTCAGCTGCCCCCTCTGTGCCCATAGTCGCCATGTCTATCACCCTTGGGAAACTTTCTCCTAGGTTCCTGATTGAAGCTTCGGGACCTGTAAAACCCTCCATTGCATGACCTGCTAAAAGGCCATGTCTAACCACAACCCAGCCTGCTGCCTCCTGCCTGGCTGCCTGCACCTTCTGGATGCCTACCTCGCTAGCCTTCCAGTCAGAAAGACAAATGAAATGACTCCCCAGTTCCCAAAGTATTTTTATTTTCTGTTTCACACCCCCGCGTCCATCAGGATCTAAGCCTGTTGCTTCCCCATCTGCGGCATCTAACACCTCGAAAGATACCTGCTCTTCCCAGTTCAGCCTCTGCCCTTTTAGCATCTTCTTTAAGCTCACCCCGCAGTGAACCGCCTTCTGGACCACATGCTGTGGGGGAAATTGACTGGGGGGGGGGCAGCAATAAGGCCTCCTGGGTCAGATTTCTCAGTTGATGGGAATTTAAAATGGACAAGAGGGTATGTGTTGTCACATCCATTACAGAAACAAAACTGAACCAAAAAGAAAAGGACAAAGAGGAAGATAGAGAACAAGACAGAAACCACTGCCACAGCCCAGCGCACAAGGCCTCCTGCCCACGTGTTCAGAAGTCAGTGGCTCACATGTCCCTTCCTCGTCACCCACGAGGAAAGGAGAGGCATTGACACCAAGTCCTCCCCAGCCACAGCCCATACCTGCTTGCCCCTGAGGTCCTTCCAGCACAGATCAGCCACATCCCCTACCACAGAGTGGCCCGGGTGGAGTTCTGGAGCCCTACGTCCCAGAGGAGGAGCGGGAGTTCACAGCCAGGGTGGGAGACAGGGACCCAGGCCAGGTTCCTTCCCCTGCTAGACTCCTGACCCTTCAGCTCCCGGGCTCCCAGCGGGAAGGGAGCTCCTCGGGGCTGAACACCTGGGCAGCCGGCTTGCCCTGGGGCTCCTGTCTGCCTTGCCGATGGTCCCCTGTAAGGACACAGTGGCGGGCCGGGCATGTCTGCTCGTGTGCACGCAGACTCGGAGACACTGACTGGTGCCAGCATCTGCCCAGACAAGTGCTGTGTGAGACTCGAGAGCCACAGATCCTTTTTCTCTTGAGACTTTACTTTTTCTTACCACAGAGAAATATACCGTCACTGGGGAGAGAATCAGCTGGGCCTCCGAGGGCCAGGCCAGGAACAGTGCCGCCTGATCCAGGCAGTGGCAGTATTGGAGGTGAGGGGAGGCCGAATGTCACCCAGTCTTCCTAATCCTCCAGTTGATGGGGGGAGGGCAGCCAGGAGGCTCCCAGCCACCTGAGGCTCCAGGCTGTGGCCACTGACTTCAGCAGGCTTCCAGTGCCACCGGTGCATTGCCCCTGGCTCACCCTGCCTGGGCTCTGAGCTGTATTTGGGTTGCAGTAGGCCAAGCCCACATCCAGGTCTCAAAGGTAATGCACCCCATATAGAGTAATAGAGGCCCGGGGACAGGGGACACCTGCACACACACACACAGTGGGGTTCACCCTGTACTCCCCAAAGCTGACTCTCCCCTCTGTGTACTCTGGGAAGTACTGTCTCTGGAAATGAAAAGCATAGATTATTTCTAATGCTGGAGTAGCGAGGACACGGCCCCTCCTTCTCACTTACTGGACCTGGTGCTGGGAGGCTCTTGTCATCCCAAGGGGGTCCCAAGTTTTGTTGTTTTGGACTTGCGTAGGACCAGGGAATGAAAGGCATGTCTGGGCAAAGAATTAGGGTCCCTGCTGCTAAAATTCTAGAACCAGGGAACTGGCAGGGGCTTGAGGTCCTTGCTCAAGTAGCACAGCTGCAGTCCCTGCCCTGGGACTACTTCAGCAACCAGCAAGGGCTGCCCAGGTGCTGTGGGTGACTGGTCATTCTGTGTCTATGGGGCGGCTGAGCTGTAAGGACCTCATTTCTAAGAAATGTGATTTAGAAAATCCAAAAGAACAGATGCAGTTTCCTGGTGAGCAATCACATGACCTAATCCAAATATTCCCTGGCACGGAGGATTAGAGCCAAGAGGGGTAGCACAGGACGCCTCAGCAGGACTCTGTCTCAGGAAGGTGACCGCAACAACTCCCGGCTGCTCACGTCTTACTGAGTGGCGGCTTTATCTGGGGATTTCCTGGCCCTGGGAATTCTGCTCAGCTGGCCCTGGGACCTGTGCCTTTGAGTCATGTGATGCCCAAGTGGCTGCCCTTGGAGCCCTGTCTGATTGAGAAACCCATGGGGTGAGGAGGAGTTGGGCAGGGAGCCCAGGGCACCAGGCTGTCAGTCACACCCTCGCTCGGCCTTCTTCCCAAGCCGAAATCCAGCTGTGTGACGGGCGTGGGAGATGGTCAGGCCTGCCCAGGTGCAGGAGCACACTCCCCTTACGGACAAGGAAACTGAAGTTCAGAGAAATGCCATGGCTTGCCTGATGTGCACAGCTGGCCAGGACCCCGGACCAGAGCAGGTGTGCCTGGTCCCTGCAGCTTCTGTGGTCTTCCCGGACCAGCAGGCAGCTAGCCCAGGTGTGGGATGTGGCAGTAGTCGTCCTGGTGGGCTCTCTGCCACACCCCCACATCAGGAGTGTGCCCACTTCTCCTAGGACCTGAATGCCCTAGACCATGGGCTCTTATGCCAAACAAGGGGAACTTCTTGAGCTAAGAACTTTTATTTTCTTTTTTCCACTTCCTGGTTTCTACTAGATCATCTATATTAGGCAAATACAAATCTGACCACATGAAAAATAGAGACAGACCATTGCTGTGTGTAATTTGTGAAGCCTCCCTGTGTGTGGGAGACAGTTTTAGGTGCAATCGTGTTCAAGTGCTCCTGGCCTCCACTCCCTGCTTCCCACAGTTCGGACAGTTCCCGAGTTCTGACCCTGGGCTCCAGCTTTGCTCCCATGCCTGGAGCCACCCTAAGCATCACCCGGAGACACTCCAGGAGCAGCTGCTTCTGCCCGGCCTTGACCCCTGTTTTCCTCAAAGCTCCTGCCCAAGAATTGCACCATTCTGGCATGAGCTGTCCCATTGGGAAGTCACTGTCACTTGGGTGAGCCACTGAATGGTGTCTGCAACACCAAAAGCTCAAAAGCTTCAAAGCTCTTCAACTTACGGCTGAGAAAGAGTCCACCGTCCCACTCCCGTGAGTCCCACTCAGCTCTCTCAGCTTAGACCTCGTGTGACCTGTACTCCGGGCTCTTATAAACATTGCTTTGGTTTCAGGTTCAGCTCACGGGACAGGCTTTGGCCAAAGGTACAATCTGAGGTGGTATGGACATG